GCCTGTGTGCAGGGGGAGGGGGCTGAGCCGTGCCCTGGGGTTGGCACCCAGCCGTGCCCAGGGAGTGCCAGGGCAGCACCGCAGGCTGGCACACCCTGACCGGGGACACAGTGGGGACTAAAAGCTGCCCAGGGCTCTCCAGGTGGAGTGCAGGGTTGTCCCCACCACCCCAGGTAAATGTTTGCTCAGGTTTGAAGTTGAGGGTTTCTGGGCAGTGTTGCTTTGAAATAGAGAAGGGGCAGTTAACGCTGGAGGGGGGCCAGGCCTCTGGGGAGCCCTGTGACACTGACGCTCACACCCCAGGTGCCCGGCGCTGCTGCTGGAGTCTCCACGCTGGCTGCTGGCCACCTGGCAGCTGGAGAAGGCCAGGAAGACCCTGCAGGCACTGGCTGAAAGTAGTGGCCCCGGCTCCCACGATGGCTCCTGCCACCAGGAAAGCCTCCTTGCAGGTGCGTGTTGGGGCTGCCAAGGCTGGGCCGCTGGGTCCCCTCCCCAGACCTTTGCTGCCAGGAGCAGTAGGACAGTGCTGGTTCTATCCCCCTGTCACAACAGAGCTGGAGTCCCTGGCTGAAGGGTCCCTGCAGCCCCAGTACCACACTGTCTGTGAGATCTATGGCACCAGGGTCATCTGGAAGAACGGAGTCATCCTTGGCTTTGCAGCGTGAGCAGGCGGGGGGGACAGTGGTGGTGGGTGGGGGTCCTGCTCGCCGCCCCCTGACCCTGCTCTCCCACAGGTTCATCGGCTCTGGCATCCGCCACTGCTTCACCCGCAACCTGTCCCCACACCTGCCCAGCTTCTTCTCCTCCTACTTGGTGCTGGTGAGCACCGAGGCAGCTGCCTGCCTCTTCGTCTGCCTGACGGCCGAGCGCTTCGGGCGCCGCGCCATCCTCCTGCTCTGCACCATCCTCACCGGCATCTCCTCCCTCCTGCTGCTGGCCCTCACCCAGTGTAAGGGTGGAAGGGGACCCTGCTCTCCCAGGGGTGGGATGGGGCTGGGGCTGGGAATAGGATGACTGGGGGGTGGCTGTGTGTGCAGGATTTGATCCTTGATGGTGCTTTCGTCTCCTCACCAGACCTGCTGGACCTCATTGTCCTGACCCTGTCTGTGGTGGGTGTCACTGCCTCCCATGCTGTCACCATGCTCAGCATCTTCTTTGCCAGCGAGGTCCTTCCCACTGTGGTCAGGTAAGGAGGGCCAGTGCCATGCTGGGTCAGGAGGGGCAGGGGGGTCAATCAGGCAGGGTTCCCAGGCCCCTTCTGAGCATGTTTCCCCTGCAGGGGCGCTGGGCTGGGCCTCGTGGTGGGGGCCAGCTTCGTGGGCAAGGCGGCCGCC